TGGAGCATCTGTTTTATGTTTTATGAGCTACAGCTAGAGAAAGTTTCCAGTAATATTGTTCACTCCCTGAAATTATCTTTTCGGGACCCCAATGTGTTAGTTCACGTACATGTTGAAGTATTAGCAATTGAGTCCCTCTAGGTAAGATTATTTTTCCACTGGGTTCAAGCCATATCTCTTTGTTTGGGTCAAAGATTCCCCTTTTTGTTGCCATATTTTCTTTTCCCTCTAGCTATCTTTTGTAACTGTAAAAGGGTCTTATACTGATTTATCAGGAAGCAAAGAATATTCTTGGGTTTGGATCATTTGATTGCTTAGTGCCGCTTGTTTAGCTGCAGCATCATCTAAATGCTTCCCTTTTGCTTCCATGGTGGCAGCTTTAGAATGCCATGGGATTTAGATAATTACCAATTGCCCCATTTGCTGTGTGGCGTTTTATAATTCTGCAACCTGTTTTTCATTCTTTATAGACTGCCTTGAGGAAGTTAAGAAGCCTCGCTCTCTCCATAACATTTCAAAGTCAGGAGTTACACCAAAAACATCATAACTATCAGTGTAAATATTGGCTACTCAATCTTTGGCCATTTGACAAGCTTGGGTTTGAGCAATTAATTTGGGTTGGGGCTGATCTTATTTCAGTTAAATAAGACCTTCCGATACATCCACCATGGGAGTTACTATATATCCAGCTTGGTAATGTTCCTGTTCATTTTTGCAATAATGAACTCCAACCAAATCAATCAATCAATCAATCTGCCAACCAAATGAAGTCAGCATCATCAATAGAATTTCCTATAAATCTTTCCTAGGAGCAAGAAGGTGGTCAGTAAGCAAAGCGCGATTGTGGGTGTCCTTATCCTATAAAGAAGGTGGAGAAGTTGCAGGATTAAGACTTACATCAGGCTGAAGCCGTATTACGTTCGGAAAGCCAGAGTACTTTATAAGCAGCCAGTTGGCTGACTGATAAATGCTGAGTATGGTGAGAGTTTAGCAAAACCTCAACAGAATGAAGAACATGAGTTCTTAACGGAGTCCATAACTATTTCTTCTGTTTGTTTGCATCACATGGCTGTAATGGCCTGTACACAGGGAGGGAGCCTTTTTGCTATGGAGTCTAATTGCTGGCTGTTATATCACATAGGTCTATGGTGGTCTCCGTGTCACTGAATTAAAACTCCTAAAGCATTGCCTTGTATTTTCATGCATGAAAAGGAAGAAAGGAAGTTTATAGTTAGGATGTCCCAAAGTGGGAACTTTAGATAAATCTTCCTCAGAGCTTCTGCAACTTTTTTCCACTTCCCCTTGGAGGTTCCATTGAATTTATCAGGTCCACTTACTTTTAATAAGGCACATAGAGGCCAAGCCATTAATGAAATATTTGGAAGCCAGTTGTGACAGTATTCAGTTAGTCCTAGAAGTACCATAATCTGTTTCTTAGTTCTTGAAAGAGGAAAGGGTAAGATTCCTCTGAGTCTTTCAGGATTAATTAGAGTTGAAGCTTGTCTTTTGAGACTTTATGTCTTTTGATAGCTAGCTGTCGTAATAGATAAATTGTATCCTTTTGGGAATCTACCAATGTCCTAGAGCACAAAAGTGAATTGTCACCATGTTGGATTATAGTGGAATCTCTGGGAAATTCAACATCATTTAAAATCAGCATTTAGTATCTGAGAGAAATAGTGGCACTTTCTGTATAACCTTGGGGCATAATGCCACAGGAATGGCTGATAATAGGGTGTGTGAATTTGGAGCCACAGAATGTCTGGGAATAAGTACTTTATTTATAGCTCTGAGATCCTGTACAAATCTCCATCTTTTCCCACTGGGTTTCTTTGCTAGAAGGATAGGAGAATTACAGGGCCTCATGCATGGAATCATAAGACTGCCTTTAAAGTCATCTTGTATCATGGACCTAATTCCAGCTAGTGCATCAGATATTAAAGGATGATACTAGGTAGAGGCAAAGTGTTGTCAATAGTTCTTTTGATAGGAGTGGCTGATTTAATCTTGTCAATATCTGTACTGAAAAGAACACAGAGTTCCATAGGAATGCTCTGCAGCAAATGTTTAGCCTGGAGATTAATATCTGCTTGTGAAGCTTCCCTTAAAATCATTGTTTTCTCAGTAGGTTCAGCATCTGATTCATGTAGTTCTAAATACATTCCACCCTTCTGAGAGAAGGATATATGGGCATTATGAGTTTCAAGAAAGTCTTACCCTATCAGGGCAGATTTGATTAGTAAAAATATATGTCGCCCTATAATATTCCCTGGCTGGGAGAGAATAGATTCTGATTTGAAATGAACGTTGGTTGATTAGATATCCCTACCGTTTGGACAGAAGCTTTACTCTGAGGGAGAGGGCAACTTCGTTTGGTAGGGTTAAGTAAAGATACGGTAGACCCAGTATCTACAATGAACTTAGTAGTTTTTCCTTTTATGGTAATTTCAATTTCTGCAAAAGTATTGGCAAGGGGAAGAGGAAATGCCCCCCTCGTGTGCCCTAGATCTGCTCTGTGCTTTCTCTTGTTTCTTTTCTTTTTCTAAATCCTTTTTCAGTTTTCTGCAATCCTTCTTAACAGGGCCTGGGTTTTTACAGTAAAAGCAGACTCACCTTTCCCCTCAGAAAGAATTGCAGGAGGTTTGACCTGATTGCTTAATTGATGAACCTGTAAATTCATGATACTAGTAGCTTTAGTTTTTAATTTCTTTTGAATAGTTGTAAGTAATTGATTGGCCAGAATTGCTGGTATATTAGTATGTACGATTGGCCAGTTTAATGAGTTAAAAGCTCCACGTTTAATCCTTCCATAAATGCCGAATTGGGCAATGGGTCATTTTGAAGATCCTTAAAACTGTCTGAAGATAATTGTAAATATTGTTTTAAAGTTTTTCTCAAAATATTAAAACATCAGGTATGGTTTCATCAAGTTTTTATTTACATTGCTGGATTTTTGTTCAGTCTATTTTCTGGAGAAATATCTGAATGATAGGTTGAAACTGGTGGGCTAATTACTTGCATTTTTCCAGGTCTGTCTCTCTTTGTTTTAAGACGTCCTCAATCGGAGTTTTGCAGAAAACCTTATTTAACCATTCTGCTGCTTTGCTCTCAGAAACCACTGGTTGTATTAGTTGGAATGGGTCAGAAAATCCAGGATCATATATTCTAACAAATCAAACCCAACAGAGACTTGAATAGAATCAGGAAAATCTTTAGTTAGTTTTCTTAATTCTATTTTAGTCCAGGGAGAGTCAATTAATACCGGTTTTCCCTCATCCTGAGACCAGATTTTCTCTAAAGGGAGCTGCCAGAATTTCTGGTTGTTCTAGCCTATCCTTGTCTGGCTTTCTATTCTTAGTTTCCCCTCAGTCAGTAGAGGGTGGTTGTGGAAAAGATGATGAGGAGAGAAAAGGAGGGGGAGGAAGGGAGGACAAGTGGGCACAAGGAGCTCAGAAAGTAGTGGGGGGGGGGGAACCTGGGGTGCTGGCCTGGAGCATTTTGAAAGACTCCTTTAGTTCAAAGAGAGTCTCGAACAGTTTCTTACTAACTTCCCAAAGAGAAGAAATTTTATCTGAGCTCAAACGCAGCCTTTAAATGCTTCTTCTTAACTTCCCGAAGAGGAGAAAGTTTATCTGCATTCCTTTGAGGCTTCTCTGTTCCAGCCAAGGTACGAATCCCATTCATTGAGTTCAATTTTACAGTCAGCTTTTCCCAATTGAGTACATGAAAAAGAGTAATTTACACGTAACAAAAGTGCCCCATTTTGCCCATTTTCAGCTGATATCATGTTTGATGAAATATTCCCATTTTTGCAGATACTTGCAAATTGAGCCTCCATATGAATGTGTTACTGAGCAAGGGCTCGCTGCCTGACATAGGGAAGCCAATATGACGGCACCGGCTTTTGAGAAAAGAAAAAGCTTTATTGTGAAGTCAACCAGCAAAGCTCAAATCTGTGTCCCTGATGCAAGGTTTGGGGTGAGAGTTAAGGGACTTCAGCACTGGATCTTCCTGGACAGTAGACCCTTTGCTTCGTGTCCTGTCCTTGTTTCCAATGCAGAGGGGAAATCTCTCCTCTGCTCAGGCTTGAGCTACATGACTTGCAGTTTGTTCTCTGGTCTCTGAAAAACAACTCAGTATCCTGCAAGAAACAGGATATGTAAGGCCTGTTTGAGCTGGGTCTGCAGTGACAAATACCCCCTTTTTGTTGTTCATTCTTCAATCTTGGGGACTATTGGCCATGACTGCTCTTGCTACTTCCTATAGATAAGGGGACAGAGTGAGCCAGGAAGAGTGTAAGAAAGTGTAAAAACTAGATCATCCCATAGGACTACACAAGCAGAAATCACAACCAGAAAAGTAAAACACACTAGTTTTTCTTTTTTGAAGTTTAAATGCATTTTATTTTTAGAAAACCTATATGATGTGGTTTTTTTTTTAAGATTTTACTTCTTTATCTTTAGAGGGGAAGGGAAGGGGAGAGGGAGAGAAATATCAATGTGTGGTCACCTCTTGTGTGTCCCCTGCGGGGAACTGGCCTGCAACCCAGGCATGTGCCCTGACTGGGAATCAAACCCTAGTTGTTTGGTTCCCAGGCCCACACTCAATCCACTGCGCTACTCTAGCCAGGGCATGACGTGTTTTTTTTTTTTTTTTCTTAAAAACAATGCCTCTGCTCCAAAAAAAATCAAGGTCAAAATAAATGAAGAGCTCAAGATAACATCAGTCCCATTTACTCTAGTCCTGGTGTGAAGATGAAAAGCAGCAGCCAGTTATGATGACAGTTGATCGATCCAAATTGCCAAATTTGTTAATATTTTTCCATTTGTAAACCATTTTTAAAGAAAATCATATATGGGTCCTGCCATCTTCACAGTAGTCCAGCAGAGTAACCATGGCATCTAGATTCGTGTTTTCACCAAAAAATACTGGTAGGTTTTGAATTAGCCAGGATGTGCTTGATTTGTTCTGCCGCCCCTGTCATAAAAGGCTTTACTCTTAAAAATATGGAACGTTTCATGAATTTGCATGTTATCTTTGTACAGGGACCACGCTAATCTCTGTGTCATTTCAGTTTTAGTATATGCGCTGCCAAAGCAAGCACAAATGTTGTTTAAACCAAAACAATAACAGGTTAAGACAGGGACTTTAGTATAGAATATTTTACTCTTGGGTGGAAGCAGGATATTAAGCAGATGTTCACCTCTTTTCTTCCTAACCGAGCCAGGTCTCAGTTGTCGTGTTTTGCTTGAAAAGTGATTTCGGATATCCAAGGGTTATCAGTTAAGTGGTCACAAATGTTACTTATGAATGGTGTATCCGAAGTTTAACTAGAACTTCACAGGGTCTGTTCCACTTAGGTTTTAGCTGACCCTCAGGGTGTGGTTTTTTTCCAAGTTGGGAGGAAGATCTAGTGCCCTGGGTTCCTGCAGTGTAAGGACATGTCATGGGAAACATTAATGGGCTAAAAGCATATTTATGTATAATAGATAAAGTAGCACCTAGAAACTGTACCCATTTTACATACCTAATTCTTTTATAGTATGATCATTTTCAAGATCATAATACTTAGTCTTAAGGAAGGTCCTTAAGACTCCTGTGTAACATTTTGTAGAGGCTCATTGGAGCTTGCTCCTAGGAGCTACTCTTACTTGCAGTAGGACAACTGATAAGACCTCAGTCCAAGTTATGTTGATTACTTGACATACTCTCTTTTAGTCTTTCTTGACTCAGGCCTCCATGAAGGATGCACTATGACTTCCTCCAAGATGGTGGGGATATTTAAAGATTCTTGTGGAAGTACCATCCAGCAATACTGTTTCATATTAGTCTCTAGATCACTCTGTTCAGGGGTAAACAGTTCCTGAAACTCAGGACTTAGGGGTATGGAGTAAAAGGCTTATTTTAAGTTCAGAAATATAAACCAACATGTTTCCAGATAAAGTTGTAAGCAAAGTATAGGGACCAGATGTCTACAGTTTGATTAATGGCTCTGAGGGTGTCCCTGGGCCCCACCATTTCTGCTCACTATTGATGAACTGTGGCATTTGGAGGGAGCTTTTGGAGCAAGTCCTTTTTCCTTTTGCTAAAGAAGGTTGGAGTACCCATTTCCAATATCCTTTTGTCTACAAAAGATGCACTTTTGTGGTCCAAAAGATGGATGGCCTTTTTAGCTGGGCTGGGAGGGTCCCAGGGACCTTACACATGGTCATTTGTTCTTTCCCGTAGACATCTTGTTGGGTCTTGTTGGGTCATGGCCAAGGGCAGCAGTGAGCAGAGCAGCTTGTTGTCTTACTGCTTTGGACTTTCCTGAATTTGTTCTTGGTTGGCAAACACTTGAAAAGCAGTCTCAGCCAATCCAGATACTGGCAATCCCAACCCCCTTGCCAGTGTTTTAGCTTTTTTCTTATATCTGGAGCATTCTGACTGATAAAGGTCATATTGACCGGTCTTCGTATTCTGGATCAATATTGGTGTAGTTGGTAAGCCCTGAAATCCCTTTCAGGGAAGGTGGATGGGTTCTCCTTGGGCCCTTGCTGTATGTCCTGTATCTCATTCAAACGCTTTGGTGGGGGGCCCCTTTGAGAAGTTCTGCTTTCAAACACTCCTTATAATGGTTTAACTTTGCCTGGTCTCCTGGGTCACTGGGGCTCCATTCTGGTTCTGTTCCAGGGATGGCCTGCATTGCTGGGGTCCTGGTTGGATTGTTTGGTTGTGATTCATGGAGCCTTTTGGCTCCTTGAAGGGCCTTCTCTAATACTACCCTGTGGTCCTCTGGAGTGGGGAGGGTATTAGTGAAGACATGTATCTCAGACATCCTAATTGGGGATGATGAGTCTTGGTCACGAGGCATGTTTTCCTTTCAATTATATACTAACAGATCAGAGGTAGAAAAAGGGCAGTGCACATATGTAGATCCCATAGGTTGACCTTGGTCATCTATATCTATAGGAACATGTCTCAGTTGAAATTGCCCTGCCTGAGGCAGAGTAACCCCCAGACCATACTGGGTGTTCTGGTGGATATGGTGAGAGGAGACCATTCCCTTCTGACTCTCTGGCAAGAAAGGTTACAGCCCTCAGCCATGACCAGCCAAGGCCTGACAAGATGTCTGCAGGAACGAACAAATGAACATGGGTTAGACCCCCAGCACACCAATAACCCAGCCGAAAGGCCACTCATCTGTTGGAACATAAAAATGTGCCTCCTGTGGCCCTAGGAGGATGGTTAGGGGAGGCCTCTGCAACAGTCCCTAAGTGAGGGGAAGCTGAGGATGTGCGGCTGCACCCGTGAGCTCAGCTTCAGGTTCAAGTGAGATTTAGCAGACACTTGGGCCTCAGGTTGAAGGTTAACACTCAGGTTGTAGTGTTAGGGGTTGGATTGTGTACCTCTAAAATTCATACTTTGGAGTCCTACCTCCCTATGAAATTATTGGCATAATTGTATTAATATCTACCACATACAATACTGTTTTCTACTTGTTGCTCTTGTGTTTTTCCTATTTTTTGTCTTCCATTATTCTGCCTTCTGTTGTTTTACTTGAGCATTATATGATTCTGTTTTCTCTTACTGTATCAGTTACACTTCTATTCCCTTGAGTGATTACCCCATTTACAGCTAATCTAAGTCCTCTTTAAAGTAACCCTATACCATTTCATGGGTACGTGTACCTTATAACAAAACAATCCTAATTCTTTCCTCCTGCCCCTTTATCATTGCTGTCATGTCGTTTTACTTATTTTCAGCACGCTGTTAGAGCAATTAAGAATAAGAAACTTTATCTTCACTTATTCCTTCTTTGTTCTTCCTTTATTTAAGGTTTTATTTATTTATTTTTAGAGAGGGGAAGGGAGGGAGAAAGAGAGGGAGAGAAACATCAATGTGTGGTTGCCTCTCAAGTGCCCCCTACTGGGGACCTGGCCCACAACCCAGGCATGTGCCCTGACTGGGAATCAAACTGGCGACCCGTTGGTTTGAAGTCCAGTGCTCAATCCACTGAGCCACACCAACCAGGGCTGTTCTTTCTTTCTGTATGTAGACTTAGAAATTTATGACTTAGACGTTCTTTCAAGAGAAGAAAACTGTAATGTTTCTTGCAAGGCAGGTCTATTAGCAACACGATCAACTTGTTTGAGATTCTCCGTTTCTTCACTTCTGAAGGGTAGGATAACGTTGCTAGGTACAGAGTTCTAAGTTGTTGTTTTTTCTCTTGACAGCTCAGATATTGCACTCTTCTCTCTTCTTGCTTACTTGGTGTCAGAGAAGTAGGATCTAATTCTTATCTTTGTTCCTCTACAGGTAAAGTGTTTCTTCCTTTAACTTCTTTCAGGAATTTTTCTTTCAGATTTCCTATAACTTGAAAATGAGAAAAAAATTATTTTGGTATTTCTTCTACTTGGTGTTCTTTGACCTGTGGTTGGGTGTTTTATATCAATTTGGGGACATTTTCAGTCATGATTCTTCCCAACATTTCTTTTCCTTCTGGCATCCCCATTATGCATACGTTACACCTTGCCCTCAGTCATCGGGTATTCTGTTCTGTTTTCAGTCTTTGCTCTCTTTGCTTTTTGGTTTTTCGAGAATGTTATTGATATAGCTTCTAACTCAGAGAGTCTTTCCCCAGTCACCAGGCATGTCTACTCTACCAGTCAGCACGGCAGAGGCATTATTCACGCCCTGACTGGTGTGGCTTGGTGGGGTGGACGTCGTCATGCCAAATGAAAAGGTTGCCAGTTTGATTCCAGAATGGGCACATGCCTGGGTTACAGGACATGTCCCCAGTGTGGGATGTGCAAGAAGCAACCAATGGATGTTTCTCTCACACATCGATGTTCTCTCTCCCTCACTCTCCCTCCCTCCCCCATTCTTTAAAAATAAATAAATAAAATCTTTTTTTTAAAGGCATTATTCATTTCTGTTAGTGTTTTTTTCTCCTCTCTGGCATTTTTTTTTGGTCCTTCCTTAGGATTTCCAGCTCTCATTGCATTGCCCATCTGTTCTTACATGCTGTCGATTTTATCCATTAGAGCCCTTAGCATATTAATCAGTTAAATTCCCAGTCTGATAATTCCAACATTCCTGCCATGTCTGCTTCTGACATCTCCTTTGTCTCTTCAAAATGTGTCTCTTTGCCTTCTAGTGTGCCTTGTAGCTTGGTATTCACACATAATGCACTGAGTGACAGAAACTGCTGTGAATAGGCCTTCAGTAATGTGGTGAGGTGGGAGGGGGAGGGGAAGGGTTCTATCGTCCTGTGATTAGGTCTCAGTCTCTTCATGAGATTATGCCTCTGGACAGAACATCACAAGCATTTCTCAGTTTGTTTTTCTCCCCCCACCCTTGGCTGGGCCTGGATGGCTGGAGTGGGCTGGAGTTGGGTATTTTCCTTGCTATTCAACAGGTCAAGGTTTAGTTAACTAGTTTCCCCTGAGGGCCGGCCTTGTTAAGAGCAGAGTGTTCTGGCATATTTCAAAATGGCTCCTCTTCTTCTCCTCCTGCCGGAGCAAGAGGAGTTTTTCTGAGATATTTACTGTGGGAACCTGATCAAGCTTTTGGAGATAAGCCTTACAGTATTGGGGGGGACCCCTATGACTGGATTGCTGGAGTGTTTAAGTCTCAGAGTGGTCAGCACCGAGCCTCCAGCACCTTGTCACTTACAGGTCAGTGACAGCTCCCAGGTTTCTGTTGTGGTGAATTCTGACCCCCTGCATTTGCCTGTCTACCCAGTCTGGGGAACTGTGCTTTGTTCTGTCTTTCTCTCTTATGTACAAGAAGAGGCTTTTGTTGTTGTTCTGTTCAGCTTTGTAACTTGTTAGATCGGGACAGAGTGCAAGTTATAAGCTCCTTAAGTATAGAACCAAAAAACTGGAAATCGAATACATGTTTTTATGTATGTATTTTTATTTTTTAAGATTTTATTTATTTACTTTTAGAGAGAGAGGAAGAAAGGGAGTAAGAGAGGGAGAGAAATAGCAATGTGTGAGAGATACATGGTTGCCTCTTGCACGCCCCCTACTGGCAATCTGGCCCACAACCCAGGCATGTGCGCTGACTGGGAATCAAACCAGCGACCTTTCAGTTCCGCAGGCTGGCGCTCAATCCACT